TTCTTTAGATGTTGTTCTGGGTTCTTTTATGACCTCCTGGATGAGTCGTTGTTGCGCTCTTGGAGTAATTTTGGTAGGCCGGCCACTCCTGGGAAGGTTCACCACTGTTCCAAGTATTCTCCATTTGTGGATAATGGCTCTGATCATGGCTCACTGGAGTCTCAAAGCCTTATGGCTTTATAACCCTTTCCAGACTGATACATGTCAGCTATTTTGTTTCTAATCTGTTCTTGAATTTCTTTAGATCGCGGCATGATTTGTTGCTCTTTAAGCATGCTTCACTTTGTCAGACAGGTTCTATTTAAGTGATTTCTTGATTCAACAGGTCTGGCAGTAATCAGGCCTGGGTGTGGCTAGTGAAATTTAACTCTTCTAAAATTCTAAAATAATGTAGTTAATCACAGTTCTTTCATGATTTAACAGGAGGGGGCAATTAATTTTTCAAGTAGGGCCAGGTAGGTTTGGACAGCTTTTTTCCCTTAATAAATGAAATCATAATTTTGTATTTTGTATTTACTTGCATTATCTTTGTGTAATATTAAAATTTGTTTGATGATCTGAATCTTTTATAGGGTTAGTTCACCCAAAAATGAAAATTAGCCTGTGTTTTACTCACCCTCAAGCCATCCTGGCTGTATGACTTTCTTCTTTCAGACGAATCCAATCAGAGTTATATTAAAAATGTTCCTGGCACTTCAAAGCTCTATCATTGTAGTGTTTCTGTTCAACAGTCCAAAACACGTTAAATAAAGCATGCACATCCGTAATAAAACCTGCCTCACATGGCTCCGGTGGGTGAATGAAGGCCTCCTGTAGCGAATCCATGCATTTTTGTCAGAAAAATATCTATATTTCAAATGTAATAAACACTTTTCTATCACTTTTCTATCACTTCCGCTATCTGTCATACAGCAGTTCCGGCGGATGACGTAGAACGTTGCGTGATTAGTGACGAATGCGGAGAGAGAACAAAACAAAACGCCGGTCATGAATTAGAAGCACAAAACGAGGATTTGTAAAGAAAAATGTCGAAGGATTTTGATATAAGCCAAGAGGAGACTGATTTTCCTTTGCTAAAGTAAGGAAACTTTGCTTCCTTAAACAAACTTGTGAGACTAGTATATCTCAGAGGTACGTGCGCGATGCATACGTCCTACGTTATCCGCCGGAACACTTCAGCATACGACAGTCAGCAGAAGTGAGAGAAAAGTGTTTATTACGATTGAAATATGGATATTTTTCTTACAAAAATGCATGGATTCGCTACAGGAGTCCTTTATTCATGCCCCGGAGCCGTGTGAGGCACGTTTTATTATGGATGCGTGCGCTTTATTTAACGTGTTTTGGACTGTTGAACAGAAACACCCGCCCACTACAATGATGCCACTGAAAGAAGAAAGTCATATACACCTTGGATGGCTTGAGGGTGAGTAAAACACAGGCTAATTTTCATTTTTGGATGAATTAACCCTTTAAGTGTGACAAATATGCAAAAATTTAAATAAAAAAAACAGGAAGGGGGCAAAAACCTTTTCACGGCATTGTATTTTTTGAAAGATGAACATTTATATCTCATGTTTAACCACTACAGAGACATCAGAGCCAGCGGCAAATGTCAGAAGGACTAGCCAAGGTTATGGTCCTCTCAGCGGAATACATGAGCACTGAGTGCCCGGTGATCGCGTGGACCTCACGTCTCCGAAATCAGCGAAGCACATTTTCAAATAGGTCTTTTTAAATAAACAGCAAATTTGAGTTTTAAACAGCTACATTCTCGCCTGAAAAACTTTTAAAACTACATTTCATGACAGTAATATTAACAGTAATATTTAAAAAAAAATAATAATAATATGTGAATAAATGGTGGTTGAAATACAGTGTTGCGTGAACTCAACCAAGCATGTTCAGCGCCCAAGTCCCAGCCCCGAAAGTACCGGACCTTTGAAAAAGTACTACCTCACGAGCAGGGACTTTCTGAGGGGCAAATTTTTACCCGGAGCTTTATTTAGATCCTGGTTCATGCAGTGGAAACACACCGAGTCCCAAAGCGCCCAAAGTCCCTAGTTCCTGGGGAAAGTTCCTGCGGTGGAAACGGGCTTTTAGTGGGGTATTTTCAAACTCTTATGTTACATTAACATTTTCAAGCTGAAAAAACAAAGCAAAGAAGAAAAATACGAAATAGAAATGAGAAATTTTAAAACAGCCCTACGGGCTGTAGATTGTTGGGCCCTTGGCTCAGATCACTCTAACAATATTGTATGTACTGTGTCAGTAGGAAATAAAATTTTACATTTCCAAACATGCCTTTTCTCATTAATTGTAATAATCCAGTGAGATTTTTGTATGCATAAGGAATCTGACAACAGCCAGTATGCTCCACACAGAGATCTGATCTCACCATCATCAAGGAATGACATGAAGTAATAGAAAGAAAAATAAATAAATAAATAAATAAATACATACATAAATATTTGGTGTGACCATTTTGCATTTAAAACAGGTTTTGTCCTAGGTTCACCTGCACATAGTTGTTCAGGTATAGATTTTCAGTATAGGTTTCTTCAAGTGTCTTGGAGATGTTGGCACAGTCCTTCTGAAAATTAATTGAATGAATTAATGAATGAATTTATTTATTTAGAAATATAATCTGACAGGATTATCTGAAATCTAGCTTTTGATCAATTGATCTGTACACATCATAAACTCAAATTGTCTCCCATTGTTTACAGGACATGTTCTACCATTTCATCGCTTTGCTGTTTTATTTTGGTGCATTTTTGCTGGAAGCTACAGTTTCATCTGCGGGTACATATGCAAACAGCACCTGCATACGCAGACCCCGTGGCAATATAATAACATTTATGGACTATAGAGAATATAACATTAATGTCGCTGCTGCGGTGAGTTGTTAACACTACCTTTCTTTTCCCTTGATTTGCATTGATTGTAATTTTCAGATTCAACCATTGGAGATTTTGTTATATGCAAAGAACACACTGAACACACAATTAGTAAAAAAAATCCCAGAAAGGACATATAAAATAATACAAATAATTTCAAATATGCAATAGAACATCCAGAACACAATCATAGTCTATTTTCCACTCTGATAAGAGTATGCAATTATTTCAGAATATTGTATCATGAAGATTGAAGAATAGTTAATTATTTTCTTACCCTCACGTCATTCCAAACCACTATGCTAGTCTGTACAACAACAGTTCATAATGACTTTTGTCTGTCTAGCTCCCAAAATGTGAAAAGAAATAAAACACCAAAGCACCATAAAATGTATCATTTAAAATACATTTTACAAATGTATAATTAAAGTGGTCCATATGACTTGGGCAATATATTAAAAGTCCAGTGCAAAATTTGAATGACTTTGTGACTCACAGTCAGGGGTGTAAAAAGTACTCAAAAAAATATACTCAAGTGAAAGTACAGATACGGATTATTGGGCATTAAGTCGATTCGCACCAGCGTCTACCACCCACAAACAGACGGCCTGGTGGAACGGTTTAATCGCACGTTAAAAACCATGATTTGGAAGTTCGTTCACAAAGACGCCAAAAATTGGGACAGGTACTGTAATTATTAATTACTGTAAATTAGAAAGTTGTCCGGCTTGATGAGAACAATATATGTACCACGTTTGGTGACTGTAGCTAAAACTAACCCCCCAAGTTTTGTCAAAAGGTGGCGCTATAGAGTGCCTCATCCACGCCCTTTTATGAGCTTTTCCCAGTGTCTATATATTATTAATACTTATATGTGTGTTGAGTTTCATGAAATTCTAAGAATGTTATCTGAATCAAAATCACCAGAAAATAATATTCAAGTTTGACATGTTGCCATGGCATCAAAATTTTAGATATCAATATCTCCTCAACAGTTTTACATCGGCCGTGTTTTGACATTAATCTGATGAAGTTTGAAGCAAATCAAGTAAAAATAAGATTAATTTTACTCAATTAAAATTACAAGTATCTGGCCAAAAACATACAAAGTATGTAAACAAAAAGTAAAAAAGTATGACTTTAAATTATACTCAAGTATTAAAAATTAGAAGTAACCCTGAAAAAGGAAAAAAAGAAAGGAGATTCTTGTTTCATCATACTGAACCATATTCTCAATGCAAAGTAAATTTGCTGAAAAATTAACTGCATAAAATATTTTTGTCAGAAATACAAAAGTTTGATTAAAGGGAGAAAACAAAACGCAATGGCACAATGACAATGGCAAACACATATATTTAATGCAACAACAACAATTAAAATGCAGCACAGTGGAGCATAAAAAAATCCATCATTTACACCTTAATGCCATCCCATATTTATACAACTTTCTTTCTTCAGATGAACACAAACTAAGAGTTTTAGAAAAAATAATCCATCTTTCTGCATATAATGCAAGCAGGGGCGTAGCCATCTTTTCAGAAGTGAGGGGGACAGAAATGGACGCACCTGCCCGTGGCCCAAGTGGAAGCCCAGATACCGCACCTCGACCCGCCCAACCGCACACTTCTTCGGCTTGGCCGTCAGTCCGGCCCCTCTCAGCGCTCTCAGTACGGCCCGCACATGCTCCATATGCCGCTGCCAGTCGTTACTATAAATAATAATATCATCTAGATAAGCAGCAGCATATGTCGCATGCGGCCGAAGAATCTTATCCATGAGGCGTTGAAATGTGACCGGTGCCCCGAACAACCCGAACGGAAGCGTAACGAATTGGTGCAATCCGAACGGCGTGGTGAAGGCTGTTTTTTCTTTGGATAGAGGTGATAAGGGGATCTGCCAATATCCTTTAGTTAAATCCAGTGTCGAATAAAAACGAGCTGCACCCAGCCGATCAAGCAGTTCGTCAACCCGCGGCATTGGATATGCGTCGAATTTCGACACAGCATTCACCTTGCGATAATCCACACAGAATTGTACAGAGCCGTCCGTTTTTGGTACTAAAACTATCGGGCTCGCCCAATCGCTGTGGGACTCCTCTATTACTCCCATCTCTAGCATCGCTTCTAATTCCGCCTGAACCACCTTTTTTTTGTGCTCAGGTAAACGATATGGCTGTAGCTGGGCTACGTCAGCAAGCTGTGCGGGCGAGAGGTGATCTCCCCCAGGGGCCAGAGCTAGAGATTGCAGTTTAGTATTTACCTCTGGCCCGAGATCCTCCTCCCCACTCACCGCCGTCGCTAGCATTACTGACTCCGCCTCACTCCATTTTTTTAGGAGGTTGAGGTGATAAATCTGATAAATCTGTGCGAACGACCTCATAATTAAGATCCCCAATTCGCCGTGTGACCTCAAAGGGTCCTTGCCACTTGGCGAGTAATTTAGAGCTAGATGTAGGGAGCAATACAAGCACTTTCTCTCCCGGTGCAAATTTACGCAGCCTGGACCCCCTGTTGTACAGCCGGCTCTGCCTGTCCTGGGCCTGTAACAAATTCTCCGTCGACAGCCGCCCCAAGGTGTGGAGTTTTGTTCTCAGGTCCAGCACGTATTGAATTTCATTTCGGCTTTCTGAAGGCCCGTCCTCCCAAGTTTCTCTCAGGACGTCCAGCACCCCGCGGGGCTGACGCCCATAGAGAAGCTCAAAGGGGGAAAACCCCGTGGAGGCTTGGGGGACACAGCCGACTCTGCCTGTCCTGGGCCTGTAACAAATTTTCCGTCGACAGCTGCCCCAAAGTGTGGAATTTTGTTCTCAGGTCCAGCACGTATTGAATTTCATTTCGGCTTTCTAGACGCTGGTGTGAATCGACTTAATGCCCAATAATCCGTACAGCTCGCGTAACGTACGTGACATGAACGCCGTGCCTTGATCTGTGAGAATCTCTTTCGGGATCCCCACTCGGAAGATTAACCGAAACAGCGCGTCCGCCACACTTTTCGCCGAAATGTTGCGAAGCGCGACTGCTTCCGGGTATCGTGTTGCATAATCCACTAGGACTAATGCAAAGCGATGCCCGCGTGCTGATCGCTCTAATGGCCCGATGAAGTCCATACCAATTCTTTCTCCCGCTGCAGACTCCGCTAAACCACGCCCCCCTCACCACAATATTCAAATAGAAAAGTTATTTTAAATAGTCTAGTAAAAATATTTCAAAATTGTACTGCTTTGCTGTACTTTGGATCAAATAAATGCAGGCTTGGTGAACAGAAGAGACTTCTTTAATTCATATATTTTATTTATTACCTGCTGGAGATAACTTGAAAAACACAAATAAACCATATATTGTCGCAATCGTATGTTTAATGTCTTCATGTTTCCAAATGTTTCTGTTTTTCTGTGAAAACAACTGTTTTCATACAGTAATAGCTGGACGCTTTTGTCCATATTAGGAATTTCCTGGTATGACTTTCTACGCGAGAGCGCCCTCCGGCTTCGAGTATGAATTAAACACACACTGCATGGAGTGTTTAGCGCTCCACGATATTAATCTCGCCTTATTCTGGGTCCGAATAAAACATCAGATCATGCACAGACTATCCTGTCTCTTTGAATTTAAATCTATATTTATTCACACCGGCTTTTGAAAACCTCTATGTGAACACACTTGTCCGAAAAAGTGTGGAGGACGAATTTACGTGATATTAAAAGTGTAATCTACGCCCCTGCATACAATATTGACTTTTTAAAAATGTGTCACCTTTTTGTGTTGTCTACTCAACACCCCTGTCTGTAACAATAATTTTTCTTTTAATTGTTTATTTGGAGCATTTAGAGTCTTTTCCCCCTCACAGCAAATAATGATATATAATTATTTATGACTAATTAGATTAATTAATGAGCAAATCATGTAATTATTTAGATTAAATAATAACACATTGGCAGTCCTAATTGTTGCACAATATATCATTATAATACAACTTATCGATTCCCAGGTAAGAACATCACTAAACATGATTTACATGATTTACATTTAATTTAACAGAGATTTGGAGATTTGTAACATTTAATTTAAAGGGGTCATCGGATGCCCATTTTCCACAAGTTGATATGATTCTTTAGGGTCTTAATGAAAAGTCTATAACATACTTTGGTTAAAATGTCTCAGTGGTAGTGTAAAACAACACCCTTTTTACCTTGTCAAAAACAGCTCTTTTCAGAGCAAGCCGTATTGTTGCATGCCACTTTAAATGCAAATGAGCTCTGTTCGCCCCGCCCCTCTCTTCCGAGCCGCTCTCTGAGAGACGTAAACTTTAGCCGCATTCATCGTGAAACTTGCTAACTAGTCCGTTATTAGGAAAGGCGATTTGCAAAGATTCATAAAAGAACCTTATATTCACTTCTTCTGTAGGTGAGGCTGGATCACGACAGATTTGCGCGAACATAGACGCATTTAGGTAGATCGGGGGACGCATTCCCTTCAAAAACAAACATAATCCACGGCGTTTTCAGCAGCACAAATGTCGGGAGTAAATGACGACTGCTATGTTCATTATTACATCCAACAACAAAACACCTAAATTGCTTAGGAGCCATTCTTGTCTACTCCTGCTCCGGCGTCGAAACAATAGGTACGTTTACATGGACACTTTTTGCTTCCATCGGAATTAATTCATTCTGATTGACAAATCCGAAAGTAGTGTTTACATGAACGCTAAATAAAGTGATCGGGTTGATATGCGTGTTTATATGTCACAAGTGTAGCAAATTAGCTCAAAAGGGAAATGTATATAAATAATTATAGTTAATTATGATTCATTACAATTATTTATATCAGCTGCCAGTAGTAACTGTAGCAGAATTAAATTGCCATCAACCAATCTGTTCGTCAAGCGAACATTCAGTGTAAGTTCATATCAACTCTAGGAAAGGATATTTCCGTGGCCACAGAAAATACTTTCATACAGTATTAATGCATTAGAGCATGTAGTAAGGATCAAAATCGTAAAGGGACATTAATTTGCAAGGCAGAATCAGAAACTCATGTAATTTGTGCACAAGAGTTTTATTAACTAAACACAAACTAGTCTAACAAACAAACAATCACTCATACATGGGAAAGGGCAAATGAGGCTTGATGGATGAAGCCATCAGGAAATACCAGAGAATGAAGCTATGAAAAGAGTTAGTTAACCACCTGAGTGAAACCATCAGCTCCGTTTTAGAACGGGGTCTAATGTAAAGACACGGCCGAAGCCTGGCACAAACTTAGGGTGTTCTTAGAAGGGTGCTAGCTCACATCCTCATCTTCTCAGAATCTAACAAAAATTACAAAAAATTCTTAGAACACTAATATATTGCCTATGTACCAACATACACTGAACAAAATTATAAACGCAACATTTTGTTTTTGCCCCCATTTTTCATGAGCTGAACTCAAAGATCTAAGACTTTTTCTGTGTACACAAAAGGCCTGTTTCTCTCAAATATTGTTCACAAATCTGTCTAAATCTGTGTTAGTGAGCACTTCTCTTTTGCCGAGATAATCCATCCACCTCACAGGTGTGGCATATCAAGATGATGATTAGACAGCATGATTATTGCACAGGAGTGCCTTAGGCCGGCCACAATAAAAGGCCACTCTAAAATGTGCAGTTTTATCACACAGCACAATGCCACAGATGTCGCAAGTTTTGAGGGAGCGTGCAATTGGCATGCTGACTGCAAGAATGTCCACCAGAGCTGTTGCCCGTAAATTGAATGTTCATTTCTCTACCATAAGCCATCTCCAAAGGCGTTTCAGAGAATTTGGCAGTACATCCAACCGGCCTCACAACCGCAGACCATATTAACTAGTGATCTATCATAACACACACACAAAACAGTGTACAATTCAAAAGACAATATACTAGAACAGTAATGGTATACACAATGTCCTGAGGAGATGCGTGTTCATTCACAGAAAGGTTTTTCTATGAATTAATTAGAGAAGAGTCCATTTTTATGGGCATTGTGTGTCTTTCCTAAGGGTAAATGAATTGTGAGTTTCTCTGCCCGCATTCCTTTGGGCAATAAAACCAGTGATATCAGCATTGGTTGCCATGGAACCAGAGGCCTGTTCTGCCTTTCTGAGGTGTTAGATGCATTTCGGGGGAAGGGTCCATAGACCCTCATAGTTGGTTTGTTGACTGAGGGGTGTTAGAGTATTTTATTAAATATAACTAAATAAATTGTGTGTCTGATTGGTCCAGACGCTACACAAGCTTCTGATCGGATTTACTCTTTTGACATGTGCACACTGCATGAATATACAGCATTTCCCGCTGTTGTCGCATACTGTTTTAAAAAGCACACTTGATATTTATCTACTTCGGGTCCTAATTAGGCAACGACCAGCACATGAACTGTTGTGCTGTGCTGCTTACTTTATAAAGCAGTAAAAGTGCCCCTTCCCGCACCCAAAACCAGTCGTCTGT